GCGAGGTTATTTTTAACATAACAGAGGGGGGTTAGAACTATTTTTTTTGTTTTGGAGGGGGGTTACTGTCTAAGTTTTTGCTAGATAACTCTAGTTTTTCAGCCCCCCCCCCCTCCTGATAATTATTGCACAGTCCCTAATACGAGAAACTACAACTCTGATAGACACTAGTGTCCTCGGGCGTGGTCGCGTGTTACATTTGTACGACTGCAACTAAAAAGAAAAATTTGGGCAACTCTTGTCTTCCCTAAAGATTTAGCTCAGGGCGGGGTGAGGGGGGTGGATTTTCTTGTGTGCAGAATCCGCTGGCGTGAAAGGCGTATGACAAGGGGACGGTTTTTTTGCAACAAGGAAAATTAGCACTATGCGACAGCGAGGAGGACACGCGAGCGCATCATCCTAGTCTAGATACAGCGTCTGCTATGCGGGCAGCGACTGATGGATCTTTCGACTAGCACTCACTTGTGCAGTAGATACCCATAACGCCCCACCTTACTCTCTAAGGAGGATACAGGCAAGACCTGATTACTAACAATTTTTTTTGTGGCTTTTAACGCTTGATTAGTATGATTAGTTCCTGGATTCTGTTGCTTAGAGTTCCGTGTGCCCTCCATTAACAGTTTTCAACTCATCGGTGGTATCCTTAAAGCCCCTGACCGGTGTCGACAGCCAGAGCTTGAGCTTTTTACCCTGTGGCTGTACCTTGTCAAGGTATATCACGCGGACAGTCAGATCATTGTAGGTACGATAGTACAACGCCTTATGGGTAAGGTCCTTGGCGACGACCCAGTTGGTATAGTCTTCGCTGGTCACTCCATGGGGAACATCTACAGTATTCAGGATATGGATAGCCAAGTTTACGGCCTCGTCCCTCGTCTTAACCGGATCAGCAAAGTGAGTCAGCGTAGCGGCGCGAACCAGTCTGGAGGGAGATGTCAAATCGATTCGGGTACCAAGCAAACCTCTGCCTTGACCAAGGGGTGTGAAAACATCTCCGCTCAAATGCAAAGGCTCGTGTGCGGTATTGTTGAGTTTAACATAATTACGAAGGTTAATCATACGGAAATCATACGGCGGAGAGTTGGCACACAAGCCGACGGTGTTTTCGTAAACTGTTCTCCCTCCTCTCGATTATGATGCCTGCTCCAGTTTTGTCGTTAATGGTGTAGTGAATTTCTAGGGTGTCTATTTCCGACAAATTGACCTTTTGATCAAACACCAGCGGCAACGATCCGTTGTTCAATGCCTCTTGTACCTCCTGGACGGTCGCGAAGTTTCCCAGAATCAGTTTAGGAAGTTGTAAATTAGATATGGACGATTTGTTGCACAAGCTCCCAAAAACCCTTCCTGTGTTACAAACGAGAAGAGTAAAATACATTTTAAAACGCAATTAGTAGCATATACGAAAGGAGGAGGCAGTCGCTTGAGAAAGATCCAAAGCCCTTCACCATGGAAGAGAAGTTAAATGCGATACTGAACTCTATTTGCATCAGCTGTTTGCATGAGAACAGATTGCACTTACCTTCGTTCTGAGAAAGAGTGGTAACTTGGGTTATTCGCGATCGGAAATAGCCAATTGCTTTTTTGACACCCGCATCGAGTACAATCGCTAATTTTAAAGAACTGGTCGATTAGTTTTCATAAAGTTTTCAATTGAGTGATGAGCGACTAGTGCATATTAACATGTGCTAGGGACAATGACGGAGCTCTATCAAGGAAGGACTGTCCTGAGCCCCAAGCCGTCACCTTTTTACAATCCTCGTCCCTAGGGCTTTACCCTTAGAAAACGGGAGGAACAGGAAAAGCACATGGCATCCGCTGGTCACGTGTCCTCTCATGCACTCTAAAATCTTGGATGTAATACATTAGCGCTGTGGAAAATGTGAACTCAGTGTCAAAAGTTTTGCTTTTTTTTTTCTAAAGCTTTCTACCAGAATACTGATAGATGAACATTGAATTGAGCTGATAACGTGAATTTGCCACTTTAAAACGATTGAAAAGCTGGCAATGGAACGATTTACTCGCTTTGACGAAAAGCTAGCGTTAGAAACGTTAGTCTCCTTCGCAGCCGCCGGAGTAACGTATTGTCACGCCCCCCGTTCGCCGGCAATTTCATGATGTCATAAGTGTTACACGGGGCGTAGTTCTACGTGGGTGGTTAAAGTGGAAATAGATCACCCTTGGGTAGCTTGGATCTAATACGGGTGTTCCAAGCGCCTCATACGAAGGCTCAACCTTGGGTAGCCATACTGTTAACTGTAACTCGAAAAAAACTGTTAACAACTTTGATGTAATTTTTCAATGTTCAATGGTGCCACGGTTCTTAAGGACATGCTGTTTGCTTTAAAAAAAATCGGAATTACTCTCTAGGCCAAGCCTGCAAGGAACGTAATTAACAACTATTTATCAAGGCCACAAATTGCCGCCTTTTTTTGCATGCGTAGACGAGCGAAGAAAAGCTGAGATTTCGGGTTACAAATGCGATGGTCTTAGATAATACGAGAAAATACAACTATGATAGAGACTAGTGTCCTCGGGCGTGGTCGCGTGTTTTACTCGCACGACTTCCACTAGAAAGAAAAATAGAGGCAACTCTGTCCTCCCTAAAGATTAAGCTCAGGGCGTGGTGGGTGGATTTTCATGTGTGCAGATTCCGCTGGCGTGAAGGGCTTATGATAGGGGGACGGTTAATTTGCAACCAGGAGAATTAACGCCATGCAACAGCGAGGAGGACACGCGAGCGCATCATCATGGTCTAGACACGGCGTCTGCTACGCGGGCAGCGTCTGATGGATCTTTCGACTCGCACACACTCGTGCAGTAGATACCCATAACGCCCCACCTTAGGATACAGGCAAGACCTTATTACTTACAAATTTTGGGGGGTGGCTTTTAACGTTTGATTAGTAGTATGATTAGATTTCGGGGTTCTGTTCCTTACAGTTCGGTGTGCCCTCCATTAAGCCCCCGACCGGTGTCGACAACGAGAGCTTGAGCTTTTTCCCCTTTGATCAAACACTAGCGGGAACGATGCGTTGTCCAATGCTTCTTGTACCTCCTGGACGGTCGCGAAGTTTCCCATAATAGACCTATTCGGCTAAGTAAATGTTGTACCCAATTCAAACCCTTTGGGGATAAAACGTTTTGTTTCAGGAATTTCCATATCATTTAAATTTGAATGCAACATTATAATGCAAATACAGTACACAAAGAACCTTGACCCCGGGAGATTTGAATTGGGTACAACATTGAGTTAGCCGAATAGGTCTATCAATTGAGGAAGTTGTAAATTAGATATGGACGATTTGTTGCACAAGCTACCGCAAACTTCCTGTGTCACAAACGAGAAGAGTTAAATACATTTTAAAACGCACAAAATAGCAGATACGCAAGGAGGAGACAATCGCTTGAGAAAGATCCAAAGTCCTTCACCATGCATGAGAACAGATTGGCTCGTTTTGCCTTTCCATTTATTTAATACAGGGAGTCTCTGACCGAAAGGGATACCTTATTCAGGTTTCAGGTTAGGGATTGCACTAGTTGAAGTGTACAAAAGGAGGGTAGGGAAATTAGTCATATGAGTCTGTATAAAAGCCGGGCTAACAGATGCATTTTATGGCTATGAAAAAGTCAAGAAAATTTGGTGATGTAGTGATTTTTTTGTTTTTTTTTAACGAACAGTGCGTTTACTGTAGCTAAAGGAAAGTAGTATTTTTTAAACTAGGTATATGAAAGGGGTACAGTTCGTCAGTAGAAGGTATTCGAAAGGGGTGAAGTAAAACTGAATGGCATATAAACGAGAAACGGGTTGGCTTCTCGGGTCGGAGCATCCCGGTATAAAATTTTGTTAAGTAGCATCAACAAAGAGAAATTTGTCAGTTTTTAAACATCTGTAACTGAAAATTTGAAAATCGAACTCTTTTGCCCTTGGTTGGAGGTGTTATAGGCCCCTAAAGTGCTTGTTATGGTGCTTTAACAAACGCGGAAATGGCCAGAGAGAAATGAATGTTGGTTAAAAAAAACGAACTTTTAGTGTTAAGTGTGAGAACTTACCCAAATAATGTGATCTAAAATGAGAGTGGACAGCAACACTTGTGCAGCTCGCTTGCGGACGTGGCTATGAAAACTGGCCTTAGTTCAAATCAATTTATACCTACGTCCAGCTGCACTTCATACGTGATCATTGCGGAAACAATAGAATGACAATACGTACTTAGATTAAGGAAACACAGTATATTAGTAAACATGCCTTAGCTGGTTGGGGAGACGAGAGAGCCTATGCCAGCCCAGCATACAGTGAGTCCATGTATTGGATGATAAAGGTATAGAATGTTTCTTCAAAAAACGTAGGTCTCGGAAAATTTTGGCCTGATGTCGAAATCTCGGAAGCGTTTGTGATAGGTCTCGAAGTCTCGAATTTTGAAACCCGGGTCTTGCAGTCTCGAATTTACCATTCTATACCCCTAATGCAAGACCGTACAACGGTAACCTGCGTCATACACTCTTACATTTACTTGCACGGGTCATGCTCTAGTATGTCTGTTAAATGGTCTTAAAATATAACCATGCTTGATGCCTCGAGCAGGCCAGGAGGTCAAGTAAGACTCTCGGGGGTTCCAGAAAAGAAGTTTGGCCCCTAAAGGCTGGTTTTCACGAGCGACTGAGTCGGCCTAGGAGTCCCAAGCAGAGTTATAAGAGCGCTTATAACAGTGTCATTGAAAATCAAAGATCGGAGTCGTAAGCATAGTCGTGACGCGACGACATCGGAGTCGGAAGAATCGGATGGTTTTCATTTTCTTCTGACTCCGTTAATAACCAGATTGTCGGAATCTGAAGGAGAAGCGTAACTCACGTTGCCACGCCTGGTGATTGGTTTACTTCTACCGCCTCTGCTTTCGACTTCTACAATCCAGTTTTCACTTGATCGTAAGCGACGGAGTCGTAAGCTGAATCAGAACTCTATTTTCACTAGATCGTAAAGTTCTACGCCCCTGATTACGACTCCGAATGCGACTTCATGGCTAGTGAAAACCACCCTTAGCGTTCTAGTCAGTGGAAAGCCCCGCATTCCCCCATACCCGGGAAATGCGGGACAATAGCGGGAGATTTTAGCGGTTTTAGACTGTCACTTTTGTCACGGAGTACGGGGTTTTCGACAGTATTACACGCAAGTATCATTGAGCGGGGACGATTTAGCGGGGGTTAGACGGGGATTCGCTTTTGAAACTTTGACACCATCGTTAATAGGCATGGTACGTACGGGAACAGAAACATATAAACCTTGGTTCCGACGCGAAATAATTAGAATATTGTTCTGGGCGGGCGTATAAGCTGGAGGGCTCATGCAACCATCCATAATCGCTTGGAGAGGTTATAATATTTGGAATGCCACTTCTGTAACGCAAGGTAGATTAAACTTTTAAAATTTTGGCTGTGTGAGAAATAGACAGCATTGCTGATTCTATTATTTGTAAACGTTCAATTCGACAAAAAAATTCTTGAAATATGTTAATGGTCAACACTGTGCATTTGTGATTTTTGACGTATTGTATTGCCCGGGGGAAGGGGAACAAAAGTGATGTTTTGACGCGCGAAATTGCTCCGCATAGCGGGGAATTTGCTTCGTTTAGAAGGCAGGCTCGGTCTAATGCCCCGCTATTCCCCGAGTATGGGGATGCGAGGCTTTCCAGTTTTCACTGACTAGTACATAAAACGCACGTACGGAGTCAAGGTAGCGCAGCAGCGAAATGAGAAACGCATTGGCCGGTGATAAGTGAATTTAGCACCTTCTTAAAAATTAACAAATCTGGAGAACAATTTTTTACGGTTCACTGTTTTTACCCTATTTACGGTTAACGGTCAAAATTTTCACTTTTTACGGCTATCGACTAAATTTTTAACCGTTATACGCCTATCGGTTCACCGCATTGAGACCCTCAAATAATGCCTATTGATTTCGATATTTTTCTAGAAACGCTAAGAATGTGAGTCTTCCATTACAAATGCTCATCGAGGATAACACCTAAAATATTGTTTCTTTCACACAGAGAATTGATGGA